TGAGAGAGAAACATCAATCAGCTGCCTCCTGCACATCTCCCACTGGGGATGTGTCCGCAACCCAGGTACATGCCCTTGACCGGAATCGAACTTGGGACCTTTCAGTCCGCAAGCCGACGCTCTATCCACTGAGCCAAACCGGTTTCGGCTCCTTTGAGTTTTTGATTTGTAAAGCCTCGTCTTCTAATTCAAGAGTATCTCTTTGACCCAGGATGTTTCCCAATATGCATTCAGTTAAGGCAGGTGCTTAACTCGTAGAAGATAAAAAGGAAATTTTCTTTCTTTTTTCTTTTTTGTAGCCTTCCTAATATTTACAGTAATATCATTAACTGCATTCTTTATCAATAGCAAAAACAGGATACTTTTTGCAATGTAATTAGATGTTCTATAGTGCAACAATAAATTGCCTTCTAAAAGGGGGGGAGGGTTCATGTATAATATTCATTTACAATTCAATATATAATTACACAATTTTTAAATAGAATCAATAATAAAGACTGTTCTGTGGATGGTAGTGCATAATACATTTTATATTTTGCATAGTGATTTCAGGCCTTTTGTTTTCTTAAAATCAGCAGCTATTTAACCTGATTCTGAGCATTATTTTGTCCTTTGCGCCAGAACTATTTTGTGCACGCTTTTTGTGATGTGTTAAAAGTCTGCATTGCCAACATTGCAGCTCGAACTTAAACTTGTTATTCAAGTAAATATTTATTTTTTTATTGCTCTTGTATTACAGATTCCCCTTTTAGTATTATTTTAGAGGCATTGGGAGGGTTTTGGCTAAAGTACAATTTATTGGGGAAAACTAGATTTTAGTTTTATAAAACTTTTAAGTCTTTCATGGGACCTATATTTTCTTGAATTAAATTTTGTAGTTCTAGAAAAAATAGGCGATCTAAAAAGGTGTTTATCTGTGTTACTTAGAAGCATAGGCTTCCTTATATTGTAACCTACTAAGCGATCTGGAGGGATTCCTGTCATTAAGCACAAGTGCACTGACCCCTCAAGTGTCTGCATAAGAGAACAAGCACCACATCGCTGCAAGTTTCCAAATGCTTCCTACATACAGGCCCCAGAGCCATGTGAACCCATCAACTTCTTGCCAAAGGAAACAGCCACTGGGGAAAGAAAGCCCTGGAAGAGGCTTTACCGTGGACACTCCCCCTTTCGGAAGCCCAAGAGCAGCCTGTCCGGCATGTGTCACGAGCTCAAGCCATAGAATGGTGTGCAGTACCTGAGAGACTGCTAAAGAACTGAAGTTAATTGGACATTTTATAGGGATTTATACAGATGTTGGTCCTCAAAAACTACAATCCAGTGGTCTGCAAAATAAAATGTGTTGGAAACCTCTGAAAAAAAAAGTTTTAAGTCTTAGTTAAACTATAGGTACGTTGAATAAAACTTGATATCATACGTAATAACGATATTATTTATTGATAAAATTAAATTCCTAACAATTTACTTTAAAATATCCATAAAATTAAATCATGACAATGACTGACAAACACTAATGTGAACAATGGCCTTTCACCTCCTTGGAAAGTTTAGGTAAGTCAGGTTTGTATGTTGTTGTTTTTAATTTCAGGCATGATTCCAGGTTCTCATCAATAAGACGACTTCTCAATTTACTCTTGATAAGGTTCATGCTTGAAAATGCTTGTTCGCATAAATATGTAGACCCAATTAGTAAAGAACAGCAAACGCTAGTTTTTTCAGTTGATTATATGAGTCAGGAATACTATTCCAGGTGTTAAAAATCAACAAATCTTCTTTCTCCAGGTCTTTCAAAGCAGACCACTTGTGCTGTGAACTTTGTTTTTCTCCAATATTTCTATATCAGCGCAAAGACGTTCAAATTTCGAGCTCCACAGTTCTTTCTTGTTTTTTAAAAAATACATTTTATTGATTTTTTTACAGAGAGGAAGGGAGAGGGATAGTCAGAAACATCGATGAGAGAGAAACATTGATCAGCTGCCTCCTGCACACTCCCCACTGGGGATGTGCCCACAACCAAGGTACATGCCCTTCACTGGAATTGAACCCGGGACCCTTGAGTCTGCAGGCCAGAGCTCTATCCACTGAGCTAAACCGGTCAGGGCAGTTCTTTGTTTTTTAAATCCAGTAATTGCATTTCAGAGTTGCCAATGTCACTATATATATATTTTATATTGCTTAAAGTATTACAAAGGGTATTACAT